AGTGGCACAATCTCAGCTCACTGCAATCTCTACCTCCCGGGTTCAGGCAATTCTCCTACCTCAGCCTCCTGAGTAGCTGGGACTACAGGTGCGCACTACCACACCCGGCTAATTTTTTGTATTTTTAGTAGAGATGGGTTTTACCATGTTAGCCAAGATGGTCTCCATCTCCTGATCTCGTGATCCGCCCTCCTCAGCCTCCCAAAGTGCTGGGATTACATGTGTATGCCACCACATCTGGCCCAGATCTTTTTAAAAAATGTTTATCTCATTACTACTCCACAATCATTCTGTCCTTTCCTTACTAATTTGAAATGCTTTCTTTGAAAATTTGAAAACTATCCTTATCAGTCTGTTTTCAGACTTTCACTTCTGATCCACTAATCTGCCTGAAATACTGCATCAATTATACACATTTATTGTTGATTTATAGTTTTTAAAAAATATTTGAGGGCTGGGCATGATGGCTCATGCCATTAACCACAGTGCTTTGAGAGGCCAAAGTGGGAGGAGTACTTGGGGCCAGGAATTCAAGACCAGCCTGGATAATGTGGCAAGACCCCATCTCTACAAAAAAAAAAAAAATTCTCTGGGTGTAATGATGGTTGTCTGTGGTCCCAGCTACTCCAGAGGCTGAGGCAGGAGGATCCCTTGAGCCCAGAAGGTCAAGTCTACAGTGAGCTGTGATCACTGCACTCCAGCCTGGGTGACAAGGCAAGACCCTGTCTTTAAATATACATATATATATATATATACATACATATATTTTTTTTCTTTGTTACCCTTTCAAAATTTTGTGTTGCCCATCCTAATTTAATTACATGTGTGTGTGCCCTAATACATACTCAATGTTATAAATATGGTATGGCATTAGCAAAAGTTGTACGTTCTCTCTTCTCTCTATGTATATATGCATACATATGTTAAAATCCTTCAGGCCAGGCATGGTGGCTCATACCTATGATCCCAGCACTTTGAGAGGCCAAAGCGGGCAGATCTCTTGAGCTCAGGAATTCAAGACCAACCTGGGCAACATGACAAAACCCTGTCTCTACAAAAAATAAAATATTAGCTGTGGGTGGTGGCTTGTGCCTCTGGACCCAGCTACTTGAGAGGCTGAGGTGGGAGGATTGCTTGAGCCCAGGAGGCGGTAGAGGCTGCAGTGAGCCAAGATCTTGCCACTGCACTCCAGCTGGGACAACAGAGTGAGACCCTGTCTCAAAAAAAAAAAAGCTTCATACTTTATTCTTTTCCACTGAGTTTGTCAATTTCTGAGATTAAAATCCCCCACTGTGATCTGGGATTGCCCATTCTCCTTCGCATGTACAAGAATTTTGCTTTCATTTAGTGCATAAAGCTCATAGCTGATCTCTTCTTGGTGGATCAATCAATATCTAGCATTAGACTTTTAGCCTGAATTATGTCTATTAATATTGTGACACCTGGAATTTTTTATGTTGTTAATCACATTTTTTTAAAGCCCCAGAAATCCTCCTTATCTCTGGTTGTTCCTTTAACATAGCAGCTGCCAATATCCTCTGAAGCCTCCTGAGAATTACCTCCTCCCTTCGTTAAACAATTCATTTCCTCTGGAGTCAGCTAACTTATTTTCCTTGCCCCCCTCTCATTCATGCTGGTGGCTTCCACATGTCACAGGTGGCCCCCAGTTGTTTTGTGAAGGAAGGAATGGGTGGTTTAGAGAGAGAGGTGGCCAGCATGCTGTCCCTGGCAATTGTGTGCTTCGTCTCCTCTGAGATCCACTTTCCTGAATGGGAGGTTTTATTTCATTGAATGTCATTCATGAATGTTTTAAAAAACTTTGACCTGTGGCCAGGTGCAGTGGCTCACTCCCTGTAGCCCTAGCACTTTGGGAGGCTGACGCAGGATTGCTTGAGGCCAGAAGTTTGAAACCAGCTCTGGCAACATCGGAGTCCCTGTTTCTAGGAAGGAAAAAAAAATTAAAATTAGCCGGGCGTGGTGGCGTGCACCTGTGGTCACAGCTACTTGGGAGGCGGAGGTGGGAGGATCAATTGAGCACAGGAGTCACAGGTTGCAGTGAGCTATGATTGTCACTGGGCGATAGATAGAGTGAGATCTGTGTCTAACTAAACAAAAAACTTTGACCTTTATGGAGAGCCCCCTTTCTTTGGAATGCAATGACAGAATGTTCTCCTGGGAGAGGCACTGTGCCACTTGCTGCCTACTTCACTGGGTATTTGAAAGGGGGCAGCAGCTGGTCGCCTCCTATTGAAGCAGTTCTTGAGCTCGTTACCTTCCTAATTGCCCCGTCCCCTGCGTTGGTGCAGCCCAAGCCTGGAATTTCCCTGGGTCTGCTCTTTCCTTCTCCATACTTCTGTGAAAATGCCTTGGGTTGTCATTTCCTTCCCTCTCGTCAACATCATATCTTCATCGACTTTCCAGAATTCCTCATTATTTCTGGCCTGCTTGTTTTCTAGCACTATTGTGGATTCATTCTATATAATTTCCTTTTTTTCTTTTTTTGTCTTTTTAAGAGATTTGTGTGGGAAAGGAGACTGATGAGAGTGCTTAGCCTGCTATCTTGAGCTAATCCTAAAAGCAGTCTCAATTCTATAAAACAGTATGTACACAGAAGTAATACCAGAGGCTAGTACACCAAACTATATATATTTTTTCTTTTCTTTTTTTGAGACAACGTCTCCCTGTGTTGCCCAGGCTGGTCTTGAACTCCTGAGCTCAAGCAATCCTGCTGCCTCGGCTTCCCAAAGTGCTAGGATTACAGGTATGAGCCACTGTGCCCGGCCAGACCCAACTATTAACAAGCAGTTACTTTGGGATAATGATTTTATGCTTAATTTTCCTTTTCTTTTCTGTCTCTTCTTCACTTTTGTTTAAAAATATTTTTTTATTTGCAAAGTAAGGTAGCCAGTGGATCCCCGCTAATACCTTTGAGAAGATGAAGGACCTTAAGAGTAAGATATTTATCAACCATAAAAAGTTAGCAAAAGAGCCCTTGGTCCTCCTGTTGAGAGCAGTGATCTTCAGACCTGCATGGCCATCTTAACATTCAGGTTCCTGGGCCCCAGGTACTGAACCAAAACCTCTAAAGGTGGAGCTCAAGAATCTGTTTTTGAAACCCCCACCGGTGAACCTGACGGTCATTTATTTTCTATTGGAAACCACTGATTTAGAGCACTTGTTTCCAAATACAATCCCTTGTACTTGCCTAAATTAAAAATCTTCTAGGCTGGGCACCATGGCTCACACCTGTAATCCCAACACTTTGAGAGACCGAGGCGGGCAGATCATCTGAGGTCAGGAGTTTGAGACCAAGCTGGCCAAATTATGAAACCCCATCTCTACTAAAAATACAAAAATCAGCCTGGCATGATGGTGCATGCCTGTAATCCCAGTTACTCAGGAGGCTAAGGCAGGAGAATTACTTGAACCCGAAAGGCGGAGGCTGCAGTGAGCTGAGATCACACCACTGCACTCTCAAAACAAATACAGCAAGAACAACAAAATCTTCTACCACTTTTCTGCCTACCTTCTCAAACTTGCAAGATCTCCCTCTAGTTTATCTTCACCAGTTGGAGCACTCACTTCCATGTACACTTGTTCTTCCAGATTACTTGTGAAAACATGGAAATTATACTGAAATGTATTAAAGTCTAAATGTGGAAAATGTCTTTACATTATTCAGAATGTCTATAATGGAAAACTATAATTCTGCTCCTTTATACTGAGCTGCCCTTTCATGGGGAAAAAGGTCTCTCAAGAAACTGAGCATACCTTTCTACTCTGGAGCAATGTCTATTTCTTCCTCTCTTTTGATTTTCATCTCTAGCCAGTTTCCCTTTCCTGACCAGACAGCCCCCAGTCCCGTGAGGACTCCAAGGAAAAGAAAATAGCCTTAGGCTTCTTAAAACCTCCCAGCATGAACCCTGACCAGCTATTCTTCACTCACCATTTATTAGACACAAATATCTTTACTTACATTTTCATTAGTTCTTCTCTCATCAGATTCCAGCAGCTTACATTCTGGAATGCTGACATCATTAGTGGGCGCAGTGTTATTTGGGAGCTTGTGTCCAGGTTTATTGGTTCATCATTCACCTAAACCAACATCTACTGAGTGAACACTGTGTGCCACACTTTGCCAGACACTAGATGCACTTGAGAGTTTGCAGAACAGGTTTCTCATCATCATGTGTAGCCAGCCTGCCCACAATGCTGGGAAGCAGGTGGCAGTGGTGTTATCACCATGACCCTTATTGTATAGATGAGGAAACATGGTTTTGGGAAGATTAAGAAACTTATCCAAGGTCACACAACTTACAAGTTTCAGAGGCTGGCCTCAAACCCAGGCCCCTGACCACGAATCCCATTCATTCACCAGTATGCCATCCCATCAACTTCCTATGCAGGAAGAGGGGCTCCTGGCCTTGACTGCAGTTTGGAAATGACTCCATAGCCATTTCTCTTCAGTGCTGGTTCTCCAGGTCACCTCACACATATTAACAATTGCAAAGAAGCCTGTTATAAGAATTTGTGCCGGCTGGGTGCAGTGGCTCACGCCTGTAATCCCAACACTTTGAAAGGCCAAGGCAGGTGGACTGCTTGAGCCCAGAAGTTCAAGACCCGCACTGGCAACATAGTGAGACTCCATCTCTACAAAATAAGTTTTAATATGGCCAGGTGTGGTGGCATGCGCCTGTAGTCCCAGCTACTTGGGAAGCTGAAGTGGGAGGATCACTTGAGCCTAGAGAGGTTGAGGCTGCAGTGAGCCAAGATTGTGCCACTGCACTCCAGCCTGGGCAACAGAGTGAGACTCTGTTTCAACAATAATAAAAAGAGAATTTGTGCCTCTATTATCAAAAACCATCTCAGTAGGGCCAGAGGGGGCAGTGGGTGAGTGCCAGGAGCCCTCTTCTTTCCCTGTCAATGCCCTGGGAACTGGTATTTGTAGAAACTGCAAACATGTAGCCTCCTATGGTCACAGTGGCTTGTTTTCCATTTAGTCTCCTGGAGGAAGACTCCGAGGAGGAGGGAGACTTGTGTCGCATCTGTCAGATAGCCGGGGGTTCCCCGACCAACCCCCTCCTGGAGCCGTGTGGCTGTGTGGGAAGCCTGCAGTTTGTTCATCAAGAGTGCCTGAAAAAGTGGCTGAAAGTGAAAATAACATCAGGTAGGTGGGGAAGGAAGTGCAGCGAACGTGCCACGACATGTAATTAACACAAGACACCCCGGTGTGGGCCTTGGAGCCTTGTCATCAGCTCACTCTCCTCTGCAGAACAGCGACCCGGGGACACGTGGCTGAGCTCCGAATTCTTGCTCATAAAAGCTGTCTTTAAACTATGGTAGGGAGGTTTTGTTTTGTTTTTCTGAGAGAAGAATCCTGGAAACAAGTGCTATTGAATTCTACCCCTGCTCCAGGCCTGAGCAGAGATGCTAAGATCAACCCTTAGAAGGAAGGAAAGAGAAGAAGTGGGTCAATAGGGAAGCTCAGCAAACACACAGTAGCCACCAGCTAGCAGACACCCGGCAAAATATTTCAGAACGTCCCTCACACAAGACCCTCAGCACATGCAGGCTACTTCCTTTTATTTGGGGACAGGAAATGGGCGGCACCCAAGAAACTAAACAAAACTGCCTTTTAGCAATAGGGATAAGAGTGCCCATCTGATTTTGGATAACCATACTAGATAAAGAGATTTCCATATGCTGATTTTGTCAGCTCCCTAACATCTTATAATTGAGTGTGCAGCCCCTTCTCAACTCCCTGAGCAGGTTATAGCCCAAATATAACCACGTCGGTAGGTCAGATGTAGTTTTCCAGGCAGAGAACAGGTTTCTTTAAAGCATGGCTTTAGGAAGATCAACTTTAACCCCTGCCCAAAAAAAAATTCATGGAACATCAGTGCAAAGAGCAACTTGATTAGAAAACAGCTGCTGCTTCTTTCAGACACACCTCTCTGAAAACATATTACCCCACAGCCAATTTCATGGGGGCATAAAACTGCACAAGCCCTATTTTTACCAAATACCTCCTATTGCTCTCCTCTTCCACATCCTTCTCCTTAGCCGTCACTATTCCAGGCTGCAGGGAGACTTAGAGATTTACCCTGTCCCCATGAGATGTCACCACACCCCCTCACCAAGGACACCATACCATCGAATTACAGAATGAACATGTGGGGTGATCACACTAACTGTCTCATCCATGGAGCCTGTTTTACACAACTTCCCTAGCATAAGAAATGTAAGACCACTGCTCAAGATCCTTAAATGCATATCCATATAACAAGCAAAGTATTCAGTCCTTCAGAGAGCAAGGAAATGATTGGAGCCTGGTTGCTAATGACTCTGCCATGCAATGCCATATCTTTCTAGAAATTTGGGCCAATTAAACATCTACCACAGAAAAAGTTACCCATGAAACATGTCATGAAAATGCTGTTGTGCTCATAAATGTCAATGCTAGTATGGGTATGTTCAGCAGGATTAGATCAGAAGACACTCGGGACATTTGGTAGCTAAGGCATTACTGAACGATGCTAAAAAAAAAATCAAGCAAACAAAATGCAGATAAGGGATGACTTACTGTTCATCTTTGCCCTTTGAAAGCCTCTATTATTTACTGTTTCTTTATATCCCCAGTGGGGAAAAAGAACGAGAGCATGAAACTGCACAAGCCTTATTTTTACCAACTACATGCAGGTAACTAATAAGTTGTCTATTTTCTAATGCATAAAATAACCACCAGTACCTCATTAGTCAAAAGCCGCAACTACGGGGGAAAACTGGCAGAATGTTTGTTTAGACATAACAGCCCAGTTCTGCATCTTCCACTCTCACGTTGGGGAATAGGATAAAAATGCTGATCTAGAATGCCTGTTTTTTATAAAAACAGCAACAAGGGAGGCCTTCTCATATTTCTTTTCCCAGATGAGTCTGAGCTCAGGCTTATGAGCTGGCCCCAGGTACTACTGTAACTTGTACCCACACCTGGCCCCTCGCTCCCTCACTGTTCTCAGGTGGGAATGTTACCTGGGCAGAATTAAAGGCAGATTTTAAAGCCATTGATCGAGAATAGCTTCTACCATCTTTTTGGTCATCACTAATTTATTTATTTGGACCTGCGTTAGGTTTACAAGAAGAAGGAACAAAAGCCCAATATTCACTCTTTTTACAAACACCTGTGTCACAGACTCTTCGCCTCTGTGCAGCAATTCCAAGTTTATGAACCATCGTGTTTATATTTAAATAGAAGGCAAGATCTGTTATTTAAAAGTCATAGGAATTTCACTTCTATGAAGCTTGCATAATAGATGACTACAAAGGAATTTTTCAGCTCTCAGGTTCAAGGTCATCTTCTACAGAAGATGGCTGGCTTTAAAGGAAGGTCACTGATGCTCAGAACTCATAACACACACAAGTTCACTCTCAGGTGGTAACCTGTCCAAAGTGCTAACACAAACAGACCCACAATTACATGTACCATATAATTCTTTACCTAATTTAAGGAGCAGATCTTGGTGCCGTGAAGACCTGTGAGATGTGTAAGCAAGGCCTGCTGGTTGACCTGGGTGACTTTAACATGACTGAGTTCTGCCAGAAGCACCAGCAATCTCAGGTAAGAAATGTGCCCGCTCTGCCTCCATGGGCTAAAGTATGTTAGAGGGGCTGGGCGGGAAGATAGTCCCTTTCCTTGATCTAAAGAATGCAGAAGGCCTCTGCTGGCAGGAGTCTGACAGTGTCTATCTAGCTTACTTTTTTCAGAAGACCTGCCACTAAATTGGAATATTAGAGAGTTAAAAAGTCATTTTTTTTTTTTTTTTTTTGAGGCAGAGTCTCCCTCTGTTGCCCAGGCTGGAGTGTAGTGGCATGATCTCACTGCAACTTCTCCCTCCCAGGTTCAAGCGATCCTCCTGCCTCAGCCTCCCAAGTAACTGGGAATACAGGTGTGCGCCACAATGCCTGGCTAATTTTTGTATTTTTAGTAGAGATGGGGTTTCATCATGATGGCCAGCCTGGTCTCAAACTCCTGACCTCAAGTGCCTGCCTCCACCTCCCAAAGGGATTACAGGCGTGAGCCACTGCACCTGGCCAAGACTTGGAAGTCTTGTTTGTCCTGGGTTGAGTTTGTCCTGGGTTGAGTTCGCCCTGCTGTTGGGGACAAAAGTAAGAAGGTTCAGTGGGCAAGCTTCACTCAGAAATACCAAAAAATTCTGGCAAGCTCCACACCCACATTTGCAGAAGTAAGTTAATAACAAAGGAAAAAAATATCAGGGTCTTGGAGGAAATGGTCCCCAATTTAAATATCAAGTAACTCTGGGATAAGAAGGAACTTATCACACCTGTAATTCCAGCACTTTAGGAGGCCGAGGCGGGTGGATCACCAGAAGTCGGGAGTTCAAGACCAGCGTGACGAATATGGCGAACCCCCATCTCTACTAAAAATACAAAATTAGCCAGGCGTGGTGGTGCATGCCTGTAATCCCAGCAATTTAGGAGGCTGAGGCAGGAGAATTGCTTGAACCCAGGAGGCAGAGGTTGCAGTGAGCCGAGATTAGCTAAAAAATTGCAATCCAGTCTGAGCAACAAGAGCCAGACTCTGTCTCAAAAAAACAAAAAGGAGAAAGAACTGCTTTACCTAAGGTTAAATGCCTACTGGCTGATCTCTAACACCTAGTGAATTAATTCTCCTGGGGTACTTTGACTGCATTTCTAATACTGTAAAAAACATTAGTTAACCTCAGGTGGGAAGGTGATTTATGCCTGGGATAACCATTAATCACCCAATTCTCAGGCAAACAGTCTTCCACTTAAAACTATTAAGTTGGTGCAAAAGTAACTTCAGGTTTGCCACTATCAATGGTAATATCCACAATAACTTTTGCACCAACCTAGTACTATTTGTTCAATATGGAAGTCACAAGCCACTTGTGGCTAATAAGCAGGTGGCTATTCTAATCAACATGTCCTGTGTCACATACACACCAAATTTCAAAGAGTACCAAAAAAAGAAAGGTAAAATATCACCCAATTTTATACACACAAGTTTCAAAAACTTAGTACACTTTCCAATTCAGTATATAAATAGCTTGAAGTTGTCGCTTCGTCAGTATATAAATAGCTTGAGGTTGTCGCTTCGTTTTAACAACAAGTAAAAAGCGAAAAAAAGTGCACAATCAGCAACCCTTCTTAGATCCATAAGAGAAGTGAAGTCACAGAGCAAATCACTGCTCCTAAAACTAGAGAGACAGGCAGATACAATCACTAATCCCAGCACTTTGGGAGGCCAAGGTGGGCAGATCACTCAAGGTCAGGAGTTTGAGACCAGCCTGGACAACAGAGCAAAACCCCGTCCTACTAAAAATACAAAAATTAGCTGGGCGTGGTGGTGCATGCCTGTAATCACAGCTACTCAGGAGGCTGAAGCACGAGAATTGTTTGAACCTGGGAGGTGGAAGTTGCAATGAGCCAAGATCACAGCACTGCACTCCAGCCTGGGCAACAGAGTGAGAGTCCATCTCAAGAAAAGAAAAAGAATCACAACTTAGCTGAGCAGAGACTCCTGAGCAGAAAGCTTCGTGGAAACCAGTGCTGGACAAGTAACCCTAGCTGTAATTCATGAACTGCTGGAAGCTCAATGTAGACAAGTCTGAGGTATGGATACCCTGTCATAGGGGTATCCCCACACTTCTGTTTTATATCCAGGAGTACAAGTGGGTGCCTACAGTGAATAGCAGAGAAAAATTCCTTCCTGCTTCCAGCAGCGGGAGGGGGAAAGTCATCATTTTGGTGTAAGCCAGAGCTTTCCGTTCTTCCTAACGAAGTTTGCCCTCAGGAGAAACTACTTAACCAGAGCCTAACCTTTAGAGGTTTTATCGGAGCCCCACACCTACCTAGAAGAAGGGAAATACTCAACTCCAGCCCCCTCTAGCCATCTTGTCCCACCTAAGGTGGGAGGGGGAGGACAAAGGAATTGAGAGGCACCTGTGGAGTTCACAGTCCAGAAGCACGAGCTCACTCAGACTGGGACCTAGAGCCTCAAAGGACTCTAGAATGCTTCCCCTCTCCCCACACCTCACCACCACATCCCTAACAACCCATTTATAGCAGTTCCTTTTACCCAGTACATCACGTCCGTCTACTAAGAAAAAATTATAAGGCATACTCAAGGGTGAAAAGCACAGTTTTTCACTGACCTCAGATATGGCAGGGATGTTGGAATTACCAGACCAAAACATAATGATTAATACGCTAAGAATGCTAACAAGTAAAGTAGACCACTCAAGAACAGATGAGCAGTGTACTCAGGGGGATGGAAATTCTAAGAAAAAAAAATGATTGAGATGAAAAACACTGTAACAGAAATGAAGAATGCCTTCAATGGGCTTAGTAGACTGGACACAGCTGAGGAAAGAACCTCTGAGCTCGAGGATATCCCAATAGAAACTGCCCAAAATGGACAAAGAGAACAAAGATTGGAAAGACAAGAAAACGAACGGAGCAGGATATCAAAGAACTTGTGAGACAACTATCCAAAAGGTGCGATAGACACATCATGGGAACACCGAGAAAGATAATAAAGAGAGAAAGGAACATAGAAATATTTGAAGCAACTATGACTAAGAATTTCCCCCAAAATTAATGTCAGACATTAAATCATAAATCCAGGAAGTTCAGAGAACACCAAACAAGATAAATGCCAAAAAACAAAAAACCACCACTGCGACATATCACATTTAAAATGGGGGGAAAAAAAAATCAAAGATAAAGAAAAAATTCCTGAAAGAGGCCAGAGGGGAAAAACACCCTCCCTAAAGAGGAGTAAAGATAAGAATATCTGACTTCCCAGAAAGCATGCAAGCAAGAAGAGAGAGAAACAAAATATTTAAAGTGTTAAGAGAAAAAAACTGACGAACCTAGATTTCTGTACCCTGCAAAATTATCCTCCAAGAGTAAAAGAGAAATAAAGATTTTTTGCAGGCAAATACTTAATGCCAAAAAAAGTAAAATATCAAAAAGAAGAATGTAAAAATTACATAGGGAAGTGATCATTTGGAAATATTAGGTTAATAAATTATATTATTAAAAATAATTTCACCAGTTTGTTTTTACTTCCTTAATGTGGCTACTAGAAATTTTATTTATTTATTTATTTTTCTTTTTTTTTTTTTGAGTGAAGGAAAGAAGAAAAAAATGAGTAAAGGAGAGGAAGAAAGAGGAAGAGAAAGAGGGAGAGTGAGTGGAAATATTGCTTTATTCTTAAAAAAAATGGGTATTAATAATGGCCAATCAATGTTTCATTTAAACCTATGAGTACGTGTGATGTGGTATTGACTAGAATGTTTATTTTGTGAATTTGAAGTGGAGAGCTCTATAAATATTTATTAAGTTTACTTGTTCTGGATCTGAGTTCGAGTCCTTGATATCCTTATTAATTTTCTGTCTCATTGCGTCTACATCTCTATGTATCTGGCTGTTAGGATCGTTAGCTCTTGTTGTTGCATTGATCCTTTTACCACTATATCTTTGTTGCTTTAAAATCTATTTTATCCGATATGAGAATTGCAACTCCTGCTTTTTATTTATTTATGTATTTATTTTTGCTCTCCATTTGGTTGGTAAATCTTTCTCCATCCCTTTTTTTTGAGTCTTTGTGTATCCTTGCCTGTGAAACAGGTCTGGATGTAACATGCCATTGGGTTTTGGCTGTGTCTTTTGATTGGGGGATTTAGTTGATTTAAATTTAGTGTTACTGCCATTTGATGTTAACTGGCTGTTTTATCCATTTGTTGGTGTAAATTCTTCTTTATGTTGGTGCTCTTTACTTTTTGGTATATTTTTAGAAGGGCTGATACTGGTTGTTTCTTTCTGTGTGTAATGCTTCTTTCAGAAGCTCTTGTAAAACAGGCCTGGTGGTAATAAAATTTCTGAGTTCTTGCTTGTTCATAAAAGATTTTATTTTTCCTTCAGTTGTGAAGTTTAGTTTGGCTGGATATGAAATTCTGGGCTGAAGGTTCTGTTCTTTGAGGATGTTGAATATTGGCCCTCACTCTCTTCTGGCTTTCTGCTGAGAGATCTGCTGTAAGTCTGATAGGCTTGCCTTTGTGGGTAACCTGACCTTTCTCTCTGGCTACCCTTAATATTTTTTCCGTTTCAGCCCTGGTGAATCTAACAATTATGTGCCTTGGGGTTGCTCTTCTTGAGGAATATCTTTGTGGTGTTCTCTGTATTACCTGGGGTTGAATATTGACCTGTTTGCTAGTTTAGGAAAATTTTCCTGAATAATTTCCTGAAGGGTATTTTCCATCTTAGATTCATTCTCTCCGTCGCATTCAGGTACACCTATCAAACGTAAATTTGGTCTTTTCACATAGTCCCACATTTCTTGGAGACTTTGCTCATTCCTTTTTATGCTTTTTTCTCTAATCTTTTCTTCGCGTTTTATTTCATTAAGTTGGACTTTGACCTCTGATATCCCTTCTTCTGCTTGAACAATTCGAGTGTTTAAACCTGTGCATACTTCTCGGAGTTCCTGTATTGTATTCTTCAGTTCCATTATTTCACTCATACTCCTCTCTAAGTTGTCTATTCTCAATAGGATTTCATCAAACTTTTTTTCAAAGTTCCTAGTTTCTTTACGTTGGGCTACAACATGTTCTTTTAATTCACCGAAGTTTGTTATTATCCATTCCTTGAAGAGTACTTCTGTCACTGGGATGCGCTCGTTCTCCAAGCCTTGTTCCATTGTTGATGTGGAACTGTGATCATCTTTAGAGGGAGAGGTGTTCTGACTTTGAGTATTCTCAGCTTTTTTACGCTGGTTTCTTCCCGTCATTGTAAATTTATCCTCCTGCCGTCTTTGAATTTACCAACTTTCAGATTAGGTCTCTTGAGCGGGAGTCCAGGTTGTTAGTTCCCAGGGCCAGAGCAGTGGAGTTAAAACTGATGGTGCTTTTCTTCCCAGGATTCTCCTGTCGGGCTTCCTTCTTGTGTCCGTAGTGGGCAACTCTGCCTTCCCGGGGCTCCAAACCTCGGTCAGAAGGGGAGCCGGTCCCGTTTACTCTGCGCCTCTGCTCCGAGCGCTGCCGCGCCGAGCTGCCGTCACAGCCGCTGCGCCGGGCTCTGGTGTCGTGCTGGGGGCCCTTGTGGGTCTTCCGAACCTGTTTACTCTGCTCCGAGAGCTGCCACGTGGAACCGCTGTGCTGGCCACGAAAGTCGTGCTGGCCACAAAAGTCGCGCTGGCAACCCATGTGATTCCTCCACTGAGGATCTTCTGCTCCGTGAGCGACCAGAATTTGTCTGAAAGTGTGGCGTCCTCTAGTTCTCGCGCCTTCACTGAGAGCTGCAGTCCCAAGATGTTAGCGATCAGCCATCTTGGATCGGTCTCGCTACTAGAAATTTTAAAATCACACCTGTGATTTGCTTTTGTACCTCTGAGTGTTCTATTGGATGGGGCTGATCCAGAAGGTGATTTCCACACAGTGAGCAGTCAATACATATTTACCAGACGTTTTTTTGGCCAACATTTTGACAGCTAAGACAAAATGATGTGTGTGAGTCTGGGCAATTCTATGGTTTTCTTTTTTTTGAGGCAGAGTCTCACTCTGTCTCCAGGGCTGGAGTGCAGTGGCATGATCTCGGCTCACTGCAACCTCTGCCTCCCAGATCAAGAGATTCTCCTGCCTCAGCCTCCTGACTAGCTGGGATTACAAGCGCCCACAACTACACCCAGTTAATTTTTTTTTTGGTAGAGACGGGGTTTCACTATGTTGGCCAGGCTGGTCTCGAACTCCTGACCTTGTGATTTGCCCGCCTTGGCCTCACAAAGTGCTAGGATTACAGGCGTAAGCCACTGCATCCAGCCTGCAGTTTCCTTTTCTTGAATTCTAAGGTTGTAGACCAAAGAATAAAACATTGATAAAAATGAAGGATATTTGAAGAGTTCAATGAATAAGTCAGCGCATAAGGCCACAGCAGCATTACAGGGGTCAGCAGGCATTAGGAGTTTAGAGAAAGAAAAGGAAAAAAGAGAAGAGAGGAAGAGAAGGGAGGGCAGAGGAGGGGAGGGGAGAGGAGAAGGACTTCTTGAGAAACAAATTTAGTGTTTAGAGGCCTGAAGGTCTCACATCACACCATCATAACCACCAGGCAGTAAGATCTGAGATTATAAACAGAGCGACTCACATTCCTGGACGCTGAGCATGTAGGAGGCGAAATATCGAAAGAACCCAGACCCTCTCAGTGCCTGAGGTCAGGTGCCAGCCAGGGCGCCGACAGGTTCATCTCAAGAAATAGATTGTTTCAGGCAACGGAGCCTGCCAAATTTCCTAAGGAGGACGCGTCCAGATGAGGATGGGTTGCCCAGAATACTACCAGAGCAATCCACAGACATCACAAACACCCTGCAGCCCAGGGGAATGCCTTGTCTAGAAAAGACCCTTTTTGGCTCCAAGCCTTTCCATATGGCTCTCCCTCTGCCAAGCTGTTGCCACCATCTAATTTCCTTTATCAATGGTATTTCTAGAACTGACCCAATAGCAGCACATTTTTCCATTTGTACTAAGATGTTTGCACTCATGTAGTCTAAGGCCGCATGCCCCACTGAAAAGCCTACCAGCTTTAAGATCTGAATCTAAACCCCAGAGTGGCCCTGTGACCTTGAAGAAACTAAGTAAACTCTCTGGACTCCAGTTCTCTCATCTGTAGAAGGTGAGAGATGTTAACTCCCACCTCACAGGTTTGGATGTAGGAAGAGACTCGAGTACATCACCTAACAGACAGAGTGTGTGCAGAGAAGGCTCCCATGCATGAGAATTGTCAGATCACAGCCGCAGAGATGCCTGGCTCCCTTGGCACTCAGGGGAGAAAGCTAAGCCCACCAATGACCGGCCTACAGTCCCTCACTGAACCAACCAAACCAATCAGCCCCACCCAGTCATATCCATATCCTTGGCCCCACCATGCCCTCCGAGTTGAAATGACTGGCTACAAGCACCTTCTAGAATGAAAAGAACTGTGAAAGTAATTGTGTCAGTTAGGGTCTGGGAGGAAAGAGATGGTAGCACACTCAAAAGGGGTGAGTGAGGAATGCTGAAGGGAGGAGGGAAATGTGGGTGCAAAAGAGAGCAGCAAGGAGCAAGGAGGTGTCCTGGGACTTGCAGTGTGGCTAGGGTCATGAGCACTGTAGCTAAGGGACAGCCACCAGCAGCCTGTGGCCTTCAGCAGAAGACAGCAGCCACCATCACACCACGCCTGGCAGAGAGGGATTAGGGAAGCCTCTCCCTCCTCCGCTCCCAGGTCTCCTGCCTCGGCCTGCCATGGGCCAAACCCCATGGGAAGCCAGAGGGCAAGGGATCCCGGCTGGGGAAGGCCATGGGGTTGGCCCCTGGGCTGCAGAGCAGGAGGGGCATGGATGTGTGGGGGAAACACAAAGCATCCAGCACAGTCATTGCTCCACGTGGAAGCAGGAACAATTTTTAATTAGTTTCAGTAAGAACCTCACAGGCCATCAGAACCTTTTGGAGATGCTCACATTATCATCCCAGGTGGCAACGAGGCTGCCAGGCCTGCCCTGTGGGGAGAGCCGGGTCACAGCACAGGCAGCTGCTGTCTGACAGTGGCCGAGGACTCACACCTCACTACAGTCCTGACTGTCTCCATGACCCGCTGTGAATTCATACTGCCTGTCTGCTCACAGCCTGAGCAAAACCCCAGGCCCCAGGGAGACTGACTTGGGCGAATTCTGAAGCTCCCCATGGATAAAAACTAAAGTAACCATTGTTGAACACAAAGATATCTATGAAGTCATCGAACCTTGGCTCGTCCCCAAGGCGTGGTGAGCCCACTGAGGGGACAAGCCCAGCTGGGGAGGTTGCCATCCTGGCCTTGGAGGTGATGTGGACACCTGTGCCTTGGGGGTCCCCAACCTGGCTCACCTAAGGCTCCTGGTCACCCTCCTGTTGCTCGTCCTTGGCAAATGGCTTCTCTTCTGGAGAAGTGGCACCACTTCTGGACATGTACCAAAAACGGGGAAAAACAAAAAAACTCAGAACTGGCTTCAGCTCAGCCTGGTTCTCACTTGACCTCAACTAACTGGCTAGCAAACAGACTGTTTTTCTTCTATATTTTCCCACTTAGATTTTTTATTTTTATTTTTTAATTACAAAAATCATACAAAAATTTCTTATAATTTACCACCCAAAATGACAACTTATAACATTTAGCTGGGGGGTCTTCTTTTTTTCTATTAAAATGGTTACACCCAGGCCCAACCCTGGTCTAACCCCAGCTCTGGGATGGGGCCAGGATCACTAGGTTCAAGGAATCCTCCTGCCTCAGCCTCCCAAGTAGCTGGGTCCACATGTGTGTGCCATCACACCTTGTTAATTTTTTAAAAAATGTTTGAGAGATGGGGTCTGTCTCACTTTGTTGCCCAAGCTGGTCTCAAAATCGTGGGCCCAAGTAATCTTCCCACCATAGCCTCCCAAAGTGCTGGGACAACATGTGTGAGCTACCAGACCCAGCCAGGTTAACTAATTTTTCAAATGCTTACTGAGCACCTGCTGCATGTGAGATGCTTGCTGAAAATGCTGCAGTAGCCAAGACCCTCCTGGGGCTGCCGACCAGCATGAGGACTGAAGCGAGCGATCCTGCGGGTGGAGGTCAAAACCAGGACCGTGCAGGCTGCTGCGGGAATAGCTGCCGGGATCTGACTTGCTCTCTGAACCAGAGAAGGAAGGCCTTCTTGAAAAAGAGAAGTTTAAAAGTGCAAGGGAAGAGACGAGTGGGCCTTCTAGCCACTGGGCCTTTTGGAGTCTGACATCTGGGACAGACGCCTCAACTGGGACCTGAAGGCAGATCAGGGCATGTCCTTTAGGGGCCTGGTCAGGGCTGTCGGTGGCCTTTGAGGGTGTGGAGGGGCTCCCGTCAGAGCACGTTTTCCTCCCTTGGTTCCATCCTTCCAGTGGGAGCAGGGCAGATGCTAACAGGGCACTGAACTCAGATTATTCCAGTATGGGCCCCAAGGTCAAGGCTCGTTACCAGGCCTCAGGCGGCTAGATTTGGAGATGCTACAAGCATCTGGAGAGGGGACAATTAGATAAAAGCAGCTGTGGGGCTGCAGGGACCTGGCGGTTTAATCTCAGGTCTGGCCTGTGGGAGTACATCCCTCCTCTCCCCTTACTCTTCCAGGGGTGCTGAGAGGCAAGCCTACATTTGCTCTGTGAGCGGTGGCTTTAACCTGGAAGCAGGACTTCTATTTGATTCTGTTGGGCACTCAGTTGTGGGGTGGGGGGCAGAACTCCTGGATAGCAGCATGCAGCGATCCAAACATTCCAGCCTCCAAAATGGACCATGCAGGCCAGGCAGAGAGCACATCACGGCAATCGTCCAGGTGTCCTGCCACTGGGAGTGGTGGCATGTATGGCAAATGGAAAGTGCCCTCCACAGCCAAAGAGGGCCGTGTTCTTCTTTTCTGCCTTCCTTCTTGCTTCCTTCCATCCAACCAGAGCACATCCACAGGCCAGCTTCAGCTCAGCGGCTACCAAGTGCTCACCCTTAGTTTAGAACAGTGCTTCTCAGAAATGGATGGTCCCCAAACCAGCAGCGTGAGCATCATCTGGGAGCTTGTTAGAAGTACACATTCTTGGGCCCCACTCCAGTCCAACTGAATCAGAAATGCAGGGAATTAAGGAGGAGCAGTGAGGCCAGACGCAGTGGCTCACACCTGTAATCCCAGCACTTCGAAAGGCTGAGGCAGACCAATCACTTGAGGTCAGGCATTCGAGACCAGCCTGGCCACCATGGTGAAACCCTGTCTCTACTAAAAATACAAAAATTAGCTGGTGGGAGTGGTGGCACACACGTGTAATCCCAGCTACCTGGGAGGCTGAGGCAGAAGAATCGCTTAAACCTGGGATGTAGAGGTTGCAGTGAACCCAGATCACACCGTTGCACTCCAGCCTGGGCAACAAAGTGAAACTCTCTCAAAGAAGAAGAGGAGAGGAGAAGAGAGGGCAGGAGAGGGACGGGGAGGAGGGGACAGAGAATGGGAGGGGAGGGGAAGGGAGGGATCGGAGGGGAGGGGAAGGGAGGGGAGAAGAGGAGGAGGGGAGAAGAGGAGGAGCACTGCCCAGCAACTGTGTTTGAAAAGGCCTGCTCAGTATTTCTGATGCATGTTAAAGCTGGAGCCACTAGATTCAAAAGTTGTGGCTGAATGGGTCACTGTCTGCTCCACCACAATTATGCATTTTTTTCTCATTGCTTCATCTGTGCATAGATTTATAGAGCACGCACAGTATACCAGGCACTAGGCCAGGCACTAGGAGTCAGGAGCAAACAGATACAGGCCTTGCCCTCACAGATCTTACACCCAGACAGTCTACCTGGAGTCCTATCTTGACATCTTGCCTCTTGTAGGATATGTCTGTTTTGTGAGCTCCCATTTTTAGCTTATTTGACTATCACGCTTTGGAGAAACAGGCAGAACAGAGGTTACTTCTCCATGACAAACTGACTCACTTTGTCTCTGCACAGTTAAAACTCTGCCTAGAGTCACAGTGTCCGGTGGCCCTACACTGCCCACCTTAGCCGGTACACTTTCCAAGTAAGGCGCCCTCCACGGCCCCGGCTCACTGGGCAATGGAACACACCCTTCCTTGCACTGCTGCACAGGTGCGTCTCCGTGGGCCTCAGGCTGTCACTGCTCTGAAGCCCAGGCCTGCCCTGGCTCCATCTCAGCTAAGGACAGATGTCCTCAGACACATGCAGTCACCAAATCACCCTTATACCTGGGAGCATCTCTTGAACATATTTGAAGACTTGATAGAACGTTCAGCGCCAGGCTGTCAGCTTCTTCCAGTGGATCATATTGAGAATTTCCATCAGTAGCAAGTCTCTTGGCCTAAATAAATAGTAGTAGCAAAATGGAGAAAACAACTGGCAGGTGGGCCGCGGTCTCCAGAGTGCTTGTGTACAGATTCACATTCCTTCTCCCCTTTAATGTCCCTGTCCCTTCCTATTCATGCCACCCCATGCCCTTCAGTCTGGTGCACAAAGGGAACTCCACGTGGGAGTCAAAGTGTGATGTGATGGGGACAGAGGGGTGGATTGGCCAGGGCTCCAGTAAGCACTGCTCCAAAACCTTCATTCGGCCCTCCCTCTCCGAACAAGTGCGGTGGAACTCTGAGTTAACACATTCCTCCCACTTGTGGCACAGGAGCAGAAAGGCTGACTGGGAGTTGACTATCACATGCCTGCTCTGATTGGTGGGCTTAGCCCCTTTGTTGAGCTGGCAAGATTGATGGTGCCGCGTGACAGTTCCCTCCCACAGAAGAGAGAAGAGACACAATCTGCTAGAAGTGACTTTTCAAATTATCTGCAGAAAACATTAGTGGATATTTTCCCATCTGCATGCCTCTGGGCCTTACTGAGTCATAAAAAGTAAATGATTTCCCTGAATGCTTTGACAAACCTGAAAGTTGCAAGCCATTTTCTAGCTGATTGATTTGCCGTTATACATCCAAGTGTCTTGAGCATAAAGTCTGGCTGGCAAAGAGCACTGGTGAGAAAACCATGGGCAGCTTCTGCAGGAGGAAGCCAGGTCCGAGGAAGACAAGCAAGGGCCAGGGCTTGGTTGGTGAGAAGGAGCTAAATAAAAGCCAAGTGAGGAAGACTTCTCAGAAGAGGTGGCTGCGAGACAGTCGGAGGCAGGCACAGACTCACCGGGAGGGCAAGAGGAGGCAATTAAAACAGAAAAAGTGGCCAGGCAGAGTGGCTCATGCCTGTCATCCCAGCACTTTGGGAGGCCAAAGCAGGTGGATCACCTGAGATCAGGAGTTCGAGACCAGCCTGGCCAACATGGTGAAACCCGTCTCTACTAAAAATACAAAAATTAGCCAGGTGTGGTGGGGCACACCTCTAATCCCAGCTACTCAGGAGGCTGAGGCAGGAGAATTGCTTAAAACTGGGAGGTGGAGGTTGCAGTGAGCCAAGATCACACCACTGCACTACAGCCTGGGCAATAGAGCAAGACTCCGTCTCAAAAATAAAGTAAAATAAAATGGCCATGCATGGTGGCTTATACCTGTAATCCCAACACTTTGAGGGGCTGAGGCAGGTGGATCACAAGGTCAAAAGATTGAGACCATCCTGACCAACATGGTGAAACCCTGTCTCTACTAAAAATACAAAAATTAGCTGGGTGACTCATCTCAGCTCCTCGGGAGGCTGAGGCAGGAGAACTGCTTGAACCTGGGAGGTGGAGGTTGTGGGGAGCTGAGATCACACCACTGCACTCCAGCTTGGGTGACAGCAAGACTCGGCAGAAAAAGTAAAAACAAGCAACTTGTTCTCTGCTCGCTCTAGGCCAAGGTCAGCAGAGCACAGAAAACATGACCAAAGGCTAAAAATAGGAGGCTAATCACTAAGGACAGAGGACTCGGGCCTTCGAAGATGGGTCTGTAGAATGGTGGAGAGGCCTGCAGCAGTGACCTCAGGGCCAGCTGTCACCGAGCTCCAGAGTTGGCCAGATTCAGAAGGAAGAGTATATCCATCCTTGCTCAATTTCTGTGCCTTTTCTGGCAGCCACTTGGTCCTGGGAGAGGCGAGTTCTGTGCCAATCTCCAGAGCTGCCCGGGATCTAATGAGAATGGGGAGATGTGACGCTCGCGCTGCTGCAGGAAGAAGGCAGATGAGACACCGACCAAGTGCTGTGTCATTCATGCCCACGCTCCATTATACTGGGCCGACAGAGTCAGTTGTAACCTTTCCCAAGGGTGATGGAAGGGGCCATGCCCTCTGCTGGGGACCCTAGTCCCTGGGGACTGGTGGCTTTGCGAGCACCGCCTGGCCCATCCCAAGACCCCCACTCAGGGGAAAGATGGGGACTTACAGGGCCTTCCAACTCTTCCCCTGTAGAGGGAGAGGAGTGGTCGTTCCTAACACCACTGATGTATGGAAGGTCTATGAAGGGTCTAGAGTGAGCATAGCCACTCCGCAGCAAAGCCCAAGGTGCTGAGGACAGAGAAGCACCGAGGCCAGCCAGACCATCACATCCTCCCTGTGTAGCACCTGTTCTGAGCACCAGCAAGAAAAAACACAGCTCATTCCTCAAGAAAAAACCAGAGGTAAACAGCACAAGATCATGGCCACTAACTACAGTGCCAACCAGTATGAAAAGGCTTTCTCATCCAAGTATCTGCAGAACTGGTCTCCCGCTAAGCCAACAAAAGAGGCAAATCCTTGGGGTTCCTTCATGGGCACCTGGCAAATGCCTCTGAAGATACCCCCTGCTCGGGTGACACTGACTTCCCGTACAACTGCTGGTGCTGCCTCCCTTACCAAATGGATACAGAAAAATCCTGATTTACTCAAGGCCTCCAATGGGCTGCGTCCTGAAATCTTAGGCAAGTCCCATGATCCAGACAGTCAGAAGACATTCAGGAAGAAGTTTATCACAAAGACTGTACAACAAGCACCAAGTCCAACCGTAATCCCACGCTCCCCAGCTGCCAACCTCAATTCCCCAGATGAACTCCAAAGCTCACACCCCTCTGCAGGTCATACTCCAGGTCCCCAAAGTCCAGCAAAATCCTAAGAGCCCACCTAGAAGTCCATGTATGCTAGAACTCTGGGCAGGGCCTAAGCTAGCTGAGGTCCAGAAATACAAACCTTAAACTTCATATGGACAAGGTAGCCACACACTGAAAAACCTGTATAGTGACTGAGTGAAATAAACAAGAGCCCCCAGGCAGAACTATAGAACAGGGAAATTTTGGGGTGGGAGTAAAAGCAAATTTGGAAAATAAACATTTTTTGTTGAATCTTTTAAAAAAAAAAAAAAGAAAGAAAAAAACAGAAATGTTAACAAGTACAAAAAGTGGTATGCAAGATCAAGACAAATGCTTAAGGGCTGGGGAACGATGGCACGATGGGGGCAAATGAGGGGACATCTGTGACTGCTGAGGACGTTACAGACATGGCCCGATGCATCTCTGTTGTAGCACTTGACACATCCAGCTTGTATTGGAGCTGTTTACGGATGAAGTTCTCTCCCCCACACCAGGTGATGCAGTCCCAGCAGGGAGTGCTGAGGCTTTTTGCCCTGTGTTCCACACAACATCCAGCTCAAGGCTTTGCGTATACAACTACTCAATAAATGTGGAATGAGATTGAGCCTGAAAAATGGAATGTTCTCAGAGCACCCACACTGGATAGTAAAAAATCCCCAGGGAGTGGCTGCCCTGGCCTCTACCCTGCTCTGCCTTCCGGTCCCCAAGAATAGCGCTTGCCTTGGAGCTTGGGCTCTTGTCCCATTCTTGTCACCTCTTAGCCTTGTTACCCTGCACCCCACAATTTAGATCTTGACTATTTTACAGATGAACTAAAGAGCTTGCTTTTCCATTTGTAGGCACAAAACGAGCTGGTGAATACAGGCTTGTACCTGGTGCTGCTGCTTCACTTCTATGAGCAGAGGTTTGCAGAACTCACGAGGCTCAGCCACAGCCAGGTTGAAAGAGAGAGGGTAAGTCCGAATGTGACCCACAGCTGGCCAGTGGTGGCCTGAAACCCCGCAGTGCTGTTTATTAGATGTCCAAGCTGTTGAGGTCCTCAAGGTCGCTTGGGAGGATACAGGACTGTCACTGTTAGGATTAAGATTTAGCAGCTACTAAGTATATACACAGTGACCCTCTGGCTGAAAGTAAGTGATGATCGTGTAATTGCTTATTATTAAATCTGAGTAGTAATTAAATGGTCATAAAAGTGAGTGAGTCTCTAGGGATATCTGCCCCCCCCCAAAAAATAGGGGACAGCAAGAATGCAGGGGCTGGTTGTGTATAATGTATGGGCACCCCCAATGCCCGAACATGGAGGACCTGCAAAAAAGAGGGACCTGGCTGTATGTGGTGGTTCATACCTATAATCCCAGCACTTTGGGAGGCTAAGGCAGGAGGATAGCTTGAGGCCAGGAATTTGAGACCAGCCTGGGCCACACATCGAGACCTCATCCCTACAAAAATGAAAACTAAAAAAAAAAGAAAAATGGAAACTTCCCCACAAGAGGCCTGCTTAAAAATCAATCAAACCATAAGAGGAGCTCCTCTTCGTGTTTTGCCTGGGATCCCAGGACATGTTATGCCAGCGTATGTACCTGGTGAAAGAGACAGGCTGCCAAGCAATAAAGATGCTGATGGTGACACCATTTGTCATTAAAGAAGAGGATGTATTTACCAGGAGTGATTGTCCATGGCTTGGGGATAGATTCCCCATATCCTTCAACAGAACTGGGGCCCTCTAGGAGGCCACATGGTGTGCGGGGAGAAGCCTAGCTCTCCTACATACTGGAGCCTGGCCTTAACAAAGATCAACCCAAATGAGGGAGTTGGATGGGCCAACCTCTGCAGTGTCCTAGTATACTTGGTCAATGTCAAATCAGCACCTTGAGCTCCAAGGGACTTTCCTCTTTGTCAAATGCCACTCTGTGGCTGGCCAGGCAGAGCCACTGTAAGGACAGGTTACCGTCCTTACCCTAAGTTCATGCCAGGAGCTGGTCTATTGGCAGGGCTTTGGATCCTAGGATACCCTTGAGGCTTGGCTCTTGACCCCTGCTCATGTCAGAAGGTCATGACCGGAAAGTGAGCCAGTGTGGCAGTGGACAAGCCACTGATGGTTCCACAAGGCACCCTATAACCTTTCCTTCTCTTTACTTTCTTCTCTCCTCTTTTCCTCTCTCTCTCTTTCTCCCCAGCCACTTCACATGGACAAGAGACACCTGCCATATGTCATTACACATGTAATTCCTTACCTGGCTGTGGACCCTGCACAATCATGGGCTGCTTCCATCCATTGAGAGCCATCCTGTTTAAGATGCTAGGGCCAGGTGTGGTGGCTCACGCCTGTAATCCCAGCACTTTGGGAGGTCGAGCTGGGCAGATGACTTGAGGACAGGAGTTTGAGACCAGCCTGGCCAACATGGTGAAACCCTGTCTATACTGAACATACAAAAAAATTAGCTAGGTGTGGTGGCGACGCCTGTAATCCCAGCTACTTGGGAGGTTGAGGCAGGGAATCACTTGAACCCAGAAGACAGAGGTTGCAGTGAGCTGAGATTGTGTCACTGTACTCCAGCCTGGGGGACAGAGTGAGACTATCTCAAAAAAAAAAAAAAAAAAATGCTGGATTCAAACCGTTAGTTATAAGAAACTAGATTTTTGGCTTCTTTCTCCCTTTAAACAAAACTGGCTGGGGCTCTGCCAAGATATCTCCTCAAGAATCACCCTCCTTGACCCAGGCGTGTCCTTCCTAAACTTTTCCATGGTTTTAACAGTGACACAAATTTCTCAGAGAAATACATTTTTAAAAAAGGAAAAGTACAAGAAGCAGGACATGATCCTTTGTTAACATTTCTGTAACCTTATTTTCATGATTCCACATATTTTAATGAACTTTTTATGCACATTGAACTTCAAAGCATCCGAGTTGACATAGGTTACAGATGGCCCCAATAGCAGCGAGCCAACGCAAGCAACGTTAGCCACCAGGCCTGCAAAGCAAGCATGAGAAGGCGAGAAACAGTACAGCCCCATGGATAAAGACCAAAGCCCTAAAGCACTGACTCTACAGAAACTTCCAGTAAATCTGTCCTGGACAAAGAAGAAGTTGCACCAGGCACAAGCTGGGAACCAGAGCACAAAGCAGCAGGAGGGACCAGGGACGCTCTGCTCTTACCACAAGCTCACATTTAACTGGAGAAATTCTGAAATTGATCTCACCCACTTAGACTACCGAGCAATAGCAGGTACAGATAGATAACCGGTTAAGAGGTTCCCATGCCAGGTATGGTGGCTCATGCCTGTAATCCCATTACTCTGGGAGGCCAAGGCAGGCAGAGTGCTTGAGCCCAGGAGTTTAAGACCAGCCTGGGCAACATCTCTATTAAAGATACAAAAATTAGCCAGGTGAGGTGGCGGGTGCCTGTCATCTCAGCTACTGGGGAGGCCAAAGCAGGAGAATCGCTTAAACCCAGGAGGTGGAGATTGCAGTGAATGAAGCTTGCGCCATTGTACTCCAGCCTGGGTAACAAGAGCAAAACTCCATCTCAAAAAAAAAAAACAAATTAGCCAGGCATGGTGGCACATGACTGTAGTTCTGGCTACTTGGGAGGCTGAGGTGGGAGGATCACTTGAGCCTGGGGAGGTTGACACTGCAGAGCCGTGATTGTGCCACTGCACTCCAGCCTGGGTAACAGAGCAAAACCCTTTTTCAAGTTAAAAAAAAAAAGTACCCAAATGAAAGTAGGAAACCAACTGGCTCTTCTTAAATTCACACCTCTGTATTTGCATTTCAGTAATTCCTTGTAGAAAACACTCAGAATCTGACAGGTAACATTTAGCAAGAGAGAGGCACTAAGTTGGGAAAGAAGCCCTCCTTCCCTCTCCTTTATCTACCAGAACCAGAGGACTCACTGACATTGTTTCTTGGCTGTCTCATTAAGAGATCTAGTGACAGATGCCTGGTTTTTGTTTTGTTTTTTCTTTTTTTGGGTTTTGAGACAGACTCTTGCTCTGTCACCCAGGTTGTAGTACAGTGGCACAATCTCAGCTCACTACAACCTCCACCTCCCAGGTTTAAGTGATTCTCCTGCCTCAGCCTCCTTAGTAGCTGGGACTAAGGGTGTGCACCACCACACCTGGCTAATATACATATTTTTAGTAGAGAGAGGGTTTTGCCATGTTGGCCAGGCTGGTCTCAAACTCCTGACCTCAGGTGATCTACCCACCTTAACCTCCCAAAGTGCTAGGATTACAGTTGTGAGCCCCCGCGCCCAGCTGACAAATGCCTGTTAACGGTGGTGATCATTTTCATCCATTCATGCACTGCCCTATACCAGGTGCTGAGATGAGGATCAGGGAAAGAAGTTACTAGGCATGACGCCATGACATCCCTTTCCTTAAGGAGCTTGTGAAGGTGCCGAAAGAGGAGACACACATTTATAAAACCAGGAAATAACTGGAAAGTAGCACCTATGCAAGAGAACTAGTGGACCCAGTGAATTCCTAGGTGCTGTGAAATTGACAACATAAGCTCTTCCCTAGCTGGGGCTTCCTGCAATTCCATAAAGCAACTATTGTTCAGGCCAGGCACAGTGGCTTACGCCTGTAATCCCAGCACTTTGGGAGGTGGAGGCAGGAGGATCACGAAGTCAAGAGATCGAGACCAGCCTGGCCAACATGGTGAAACCCCATCTCTACTAAAATACAAAAAACTAGCCAGGTGTGGTGGTGTGCACTTGTAGTCCCAGCTTACTCGGGAGGCTGAGGCAGGAGAATCACTTGAACCCAGGAGGCAGAGGTTGCAGTGAGCCAAGATCGCACCACTGCACTCTAGCCTGGTGACAGAGCGAGACTCCATCTCAAAAAAAAAAAAAAACAACCAATTCGTTTCCTTAGTGAAGTTGTGACTATTTGAATGCAAACCCGGGCCATGCCTGTCTGTCATGGTGCTGGGCACACAGTAAGTCACGTGTGACTGCTGACCACATCCCTGGCACTATGGATGCCAGGAGCACTGATTACAGATGTGTCAAATGATTGCCAGATAAGGAAGTGACCTGCATGGGTTGGGGGCACTCATCAACAACTGGGCATGGGACCTTTATGTTTTTGTATCTCACAGGCCTCCAGTACCTAGAAGATGCCTAGTACCTAATAGGTGCTCAGTAAGTTTCTGATGCATAGTCAACTACTGAATCAGAACCTAGTTCTTCCACAAGGCAAGCCCTGAGTTATGTTATGGAGAAAGTGATAGTGCAAAATTTGCACAGAGAACAATACTCTAGGTAAAGGAATACTTCCAAGTTCAACATATATTTATTTACTCAACGATTTTCTTTCTTTTTTTGAGACAGGGTCTCGCTCTGTTGCCCAGGCTGGAGTTCACTGGTGGGGTCACAGCTCACTGCAGCCTCGAATGCCTCAGCTCAAGTGATCCTCCCGCCTCAGCCTCCTGAGTAGTTGAGATGCACCACTATCCCTGGCTAATTTTTTTTTTTTTTTTTTAGAGATGGGGTCTTGCCAGTTTAGCCAGGCTAGACTTGAATTCCTGGTCCCAAGAAATCCTCCCACCTCAGCCTCTATTCAAAGATTTTCTGCAAGCCTACTACATGCTAGCCTCTGGGAATACAAAGATGATTAAGACACTCCTTTCCTAGAAGAGACACAGAGTCTAAGGGCAGAACACATGGAACCACGAGTATCCACAAATGTGCCTGTGTTCTAACAGAAGGTTGAGTCAGACATGGGGAACACAGAGCACAGTCAGATGAAATGGGGAGCCACCATTCTCGCCCCTCCTTCCACACCTCCTCTAGGACAGACCTCCAGCCAGGCTCTTCAGGGGCAGGTGCCAATGCTTCTGAGTCCTCGTTTTTCATCTAATCAGATTGTGCCCTTTGCAGTCGGTATTCCCACTTCTTTGGGAGCCTGGTAGTAAAGCTGCTTCCATTATTGTTCTCATCACTGGATCTACCGTGGGGATGACATTTACCCTGAATCCTGGAGAGTTTGGCAGATGGGCAAGGGTAGGTGTGGCAGAAGAGAGAATTCCATGCAGAGGGAAATGGAAATGCACAGAGACATGGCAAGACTTGGTTGTTGGGGGAAAGTCAAGGAGCTATGTGGCCAGGAAGGGCAGAGGATGAGCCTGAGGTCAGGCAGGGAGTGGGACAGGAAGGGTTTGTGAGCAGCTCTGGAGGCCATGGGACAGTTTCCAGCCTGGGATTGGCAGGCCAGGAGATGTGGCCTTTTTCGGGGAGAACTTGGCCAAGTTTTTGGGGAAAATTTGGGCAGCCATATAGAGGGTGGGTTGGAAAGGAAAGAAATCAGCCAGGAGGCTGCTGCAATGGTGCCAGGTAAAAAGGGGGCCTGCGTGGCAAGCATCACACATGGGAAGGACAGGGGTGCGCCCCAGGTGAGGGACAGGCTGGTGGAAGCACTGAATGTTCACCTCTGCAAGTGGCCAGCAGGAAGCTGGCTTTTCCTACCTTCAGATGCTTGTTGGGAGCATCTCCAGAGAAGACAGGGCCCACCAGCCTCACGTGACCCCACCTTCAAAGTGAAGCTAAATGGCCTTGCCTTTCATCTCCTCCTTCCCTTTCAGCACCCACACGCAGCACTCCATTTGTCAGGGCCCGTCCCCCATCCCCCGTGTCCTGGGCTTCCTCCCAGCCCAGGTCTTGTCTCTTATCTGATTATTACAGCAAGCTCCTGGAGTGAGGGCCCACCTTTGTCTTCTGTCCCAGGTGTGCCGTTAATGGTAAAAAACTTCAGGCTAGATGCAGGGGAAGGGAGCCCAGGGGCTGGCCGGAGAGGCAGGTAGGGTCTAGAAGCCATTCTCCAATACCCCTGATTCATTCATGGGTAGGACTGGATGGACTGTGGCTACCCCAGCCCCCATCTACATTTCTAAAAAACCAAAAGCTCTTTCCTCCAAGGAGCAAAGCAGATAAACCCAAAACATGGGAAGCCCAGGTTTGGTCCACAGTTAGAAAAACGTCCCACTCACCAAGATGCCGTTTTCTGGTGGAACAAGAGTTGGTGAGATAGATACGATCAGCTGGCACGGAATCTAGAGGCAGGTGGAGGTTGTCTCGGTAGCCCAAGAAACGGAGGCAGTGGCTAGCCCAGTCTTGATGCATAATTAACCAGCTAACCAGGACCTGCTACTCTAGATGAAATTCCATCCTTCCCCTGCCCCGCCCCCTCCTTGGGCACAGAAGAGGTCCCAGGGACTAAAGCTGCCTCCACACTGGCCAGGCAGTTGCCCCAGTAACAGTGTCCAGCACCCCTTGTTTTGTCCCCCCAGCCTGTCACAAAGCCCCTCTTCTTCCTGGGGAAGAGCACCAGGCCCTCTGCACCGGAGCCCACATCCTTGCAGCCTGGCACAATGGGCTCCCACGGAGTACACAGTGTTTCTTATTGTGGCATAAAATGCCATGAAGTCAGAACAAAGAGCAAGCCTAGGGCCTTGATGGGTCTGCTGCTTCCTGCCGGGCTTAGAATGCAAGCGATTGTTTCAAAGCCAGTGGTGAGGCAAGTGGCCAATTAGCAAGGCCTTCACCCTAGCAGCCTGTAAATGTAATTCGGACCATCAGAATGAGATTCGGCTATTCAGATCAATAGCTCAAAGGAAGCAAGCCTGTTCTCACTGCCAAATTTAGAAGCCCGAGACAGCAAAGGTGACCCAGGTTATGGCTGCAGCTCTCGTTAGGATGAGGCTGAGCCCAGCCAACGCTGAGCACCCACCCAACCCTCAGCACCTCCTCCCGTTTCCCTGGCCCTTTAAGGTGGTGTGAGGGATTCCTAGAACGTCCCTGCAACTAGGAGGTTATACATCTGTTCACAACTGCATTGGAAAAACAATTCATTTCTCGCTGTCTTCTTTCTCGTAGTTGTCAAGAAATTACCCAGAACCCAGAATGGAAGAAAATGAAAGTAGGTTTTGGGGGTCGGTCCTGCCATTTGAGGGTGTTTGCTAAGTTCCTCTTTTTCTGTGACTGTGTTGAACCTAATGCCTGGGAAGGAATGACCACCACCCAGAGGCAAAAATAACCCCACAAAGCTTGAGAAAGTCAGCCGCAGCAATCAGGAAGGCGAGGCCAAGTTCACTGGGTGCAGAGCAGATAAGAATTTTAATTCATCCTGAAAGCAAGGAAAAGCGCCAACAAAGGGAAGAGGTTATCTTCCGGCATGAGATAAGATTTGTTTCTTTTCCTTGCTGGGATTCTCCAGCGTCCAGCCCTTGGAGAGTTTGGGTTTTTGTGTTTTTTTTTTTTCTGCCAGGATTCCTCTAGGAAAACCCTTCCCAAGTCCTGGCAGAGGCTGCCTGGCCCTTACCTGAAGGGACCACATTCACTCACAAGCTAGTGGCCTTGGTGGATTTCCTCCTCATTCAGCCAATCAAGTGGGTCTGCTGAATTCAGAGGCTGAACAAAGTAAACAGGTCTCCCGAGAAAGGGCCCTCAAAGCGGGCAAGACGGCTCTCTGCAAACAGGTTCGAGAAACGTCTTCTCCTTGTTTCTTGTTCCATAAAAAAAAATAAGCCCGACTGGAGAAAAATGTGCTTAAGTAAAGCAGGCGGGCTCGAAGTCAGACTAGGGAAGAACTTCATCAGCAGGGATAATCGACGCTGCAGTGAATCGAGGGGGGTGTGACAGCTGGGTCCCCAGAGGTTCATCTGGGGGAAAATTTCTCAACTGCCTATCCCAAAAGGCGTTAGAACCGTGGCTCCCACCTGGGATTTACCATCAGAATCACCCGGGAACTCACCAAAAACTCGGATTCCTGGGCCCCGACCAGAGATTCCGCTTCAGGCGACACGGTGGGGCCCTGGAATCGCGTTCACATGGACCCCGGTGGTCCTGACAGAGCTGGCCGCGGGGGTGCTTTTGGGAACCCCCAGTAGTCCTGCCTGGAAGGCGCGAAGCCTCTCAAAGCTGCACGGGGTGGGGCCCGGATTACTACCCCAGAGAAGCCAATTGATTATTCCGGGCACGCAGCCCTGCGAAGCCGAACTGACCATTTTCAGAGACCGGGGAGGGCCCCGCCTTCCGCTCACAAAAGGAGCCCGGGGGTCGCTGCCCTGGCGCAACCGCGGCGATCCCGCCGAGCCCAGCGCCCCCTCGCGCGACCGCCGCGGACCCCGGCCTCGTCCCTCGGGCGGGCACAGCTGCTGCTCCCGCCTCCGCAGCCGGGAAGGGCGCGGCGAGGTCTTTAAAAGACCTTTGTGTCGCGGGCTCACGCAGCACCTCCGGGGAAAACGCCCTGTGCCGCGGCTCCGCGCCGCCGCCCGCCCCGCGCGTCCCAGGTTCGGCCACGGCAAGGGCCTCCCACTACGGAAAGGGCGCGACGGGGAGCCCGACCCGGGCGCTGCGGCCACTGACTCCGTCCAGCCGCGGCCGAGAGGACCGGGCAGGGTCCGGGCGCCGAGCCCAGGCACCCCCTCCCCAGCCCCGCCCCGCCCCGGAGGCGCCTCGCTCTTCCCGGTCGGGGAAACCTGCGGCCGGGCGCGCCCGCGTGGCTTCCTCTGGGCAGGGGCGACCCCTAGTGCCCAAGGTGGGGGGCGCCGAGCGGGCCGAGCCTTTCCCCGCACACCCTGGAGCCTGGGCTTGGGACACCATGGCCTCTGAGCCCGGGCCCCAGGGGAGACCGACGTCTCCGGAGGGCAGAACAGCATCCCTGGGGTGGTGCTCCAAAAAGAGTCTCCACCGACGGGAGCCAGGGGACATGTCGCCCTCGCATACTGCTCCGAGGCAAATGATCCCACGGAGGGAGCGACCCCCACTCATTTGCCATCCTTCCTCGGGGCTTGGGACCTGCTCGAGGATCCACGCCATCACCACCTCTCCCCCGCCGCTCTCAGCCCCAAAATGGGGACAGCCAGTTCTCCCCTGAAAGCCCAGGCCCTCTCCAACTGCCCCCAGCTCTGCACACACCGGTGGGCGCAGCTGAGGCCAAGGAGAACCCAGCACAGAGGGATCATCCTGGGGTGCTGGCCAGTCGCAGTCCTGGCCTGGCCTCCCGCCAGAGCCATTCTCAAGTCAAGAGCCGGAGAGCCACGGACATCCAGCCTCCCCAGTGGGCCACACTCCTTTCGTCCCCTGGCAGCCTGGCATGACTCACCTGGTTGGCAGCACTTTGTTTGAGTTTCCGGAGCTGAGTCACCGCTGTGACCTGCTACCCTAGCTTGGTTCAGGTACACAGGAAGAAAAAGGGCAACACATCAGGGCACACAGGTGGCACAGAGAGGTGTTAGCCTCTTTGTGGTTCTGTGGTGCCCATGCCAGCCTGCTGACCAGGACCCCCTCCCCTGCACGTGAAAATCAAAGCCTCACACAATGCCACAAGTGGAACCGAGGTTAAGGCAGCTGGGGAGAGTCCCAGGTGTGTGTACCCAGAGCCAGCGCCCAGACAGCTGCTTCCCATTGGCACAAATAACTTCCCAGTGTCACCAAGACAAGGTGGGGCGCGAGGTGGGAGGAGTACCTTCTGCAGATACGAAAACAGATGAGGACAGGGGCAGGCATGAGCGCCCGTGGCCAAAGGCTGGACCAGAGTGCCTCCCCAAACACCCAGTCAAGGCTACTGGCCCTTGGAGAAAGCACAGGATGGGTGAAGGAATGGGGCAGCTGAGGGGCTGAGGCTTCCTTGGGTAGAACTGAGAAGGTAAGAAGGTCCGGGTAGGATTGGGGGATGTCACTTGCTCCTGCTCCGTGCATAGTTTCTTCCTCAACAGGCAGAAACTTTTCTTTTCTTTTTTGAGACAGAGTCTTGCTCTGTTGTCCCGGCTAGAGTGCAGTGGCACGATCTCAGCTCGCTGCAACCTCTGCCTCCCAAGTTCAAGTGATTCTCCTGTCTCAGCCTCCTAAGCAGCTGGGATTACAGGCACCGATCACCACACCCAGCTAATTTTTTTGTATTTTAAGTAGAGACAGGGTTTTGCCATGTTGGCCAGGCTGGTCTTGAACTCCTGAACTCAAGCGATTTACCCACCTCGGCTTTCCAAAGTCCTGGGACTACAGGTGTGATATGCACCCGGCTGAAACTGTTTCTAAATTGTCAGAGAGCATTCATTCGAGCCAAGGGGAAAAGAAACATTTAGAACAAGAATTTCCCCCAAGAATAAAAAATAAAGGAGACCCCCCCCCAACTCTACCTTCTCCACTTGGACTGCACTACCACCCCAGAGCCTCTTGCTCTCCCTCCCTTTCCCCCTCTTATCACTTGTCCCTCTGCCTTCAGCCACTGATATCTGAAAGACTCCTTAAACACGTAGGTCAGTTCATTCCCCCTTCCCTGCCAAATTAGGAAGTGGAGGTTCACCTAGGTCCTTACCTTGAGAGGAGGCAATGGCCCCTGCAGCTATTCAACCTGCAAACAAGGGCTGCACCAGGCTATGTGGGGACATGGAGATGACCAAGATGCTGTCTTTGGGGAAGCTTATGGCCCAGCTTCCCTGGTGTGGCTGAAACCTCAAAGGGCAGTGTGTGGATTCCCCAGCACCAGACTCCAGATCTCTGTTCCCCACACTGTTCCAGGCACTGTGGCCCTCTGGGTGGCTGGCCCTCGGGGCTGGGGTGGGAGAAGGAGCAGCAGTGCTGTGCCCCCTGTGACAGACCCCACAGTGTGCCTAGGCTCTCCAGCCTGAGACATCTTCTTGCCTTCCAGATTCTGAGTTGGGAGACAACGAAAACGGCGTTTCTCAAAGCCGGGTCATCTAGCAAGGAAGCTGACCGCGGAGCTCTGCAGAGCCCTCTCCCACCAGCCGTTCTTTCTCTGTCCCCAAGTGCATCCCTCCCTTCTCCTCTTTACTGAAACTGAAACCAAAGTGTTCACAGTTACCATTTTCACCTTGCGCCACTCTCTTTTGGGGTCTGGCTTGAGCATCTCTGGGCAGCCACAGTGATCAGTCTAGTCCCAGACAGCACAGGTGAAGCAGCCTAAGACTGGGGAGCTCTTGGCAGGCTGGCCTGCTACTGCCCCTCAGCCCAAGAGCCCCAGGGGACCCGGCAGCCCCGGCAGGTCCACTGGCCTGGGGTCCCACTGCTGAGGGCACCTGCCAGGCCTCACTCCATCCTGAGTGGAATTGATACATGTATTCATTCAGTAAACTGACTCTATTCTCCCAGCTTTGCCCATGCTTAGTTCACTTTCCTTGGTCAGAGGCTGAGAGTCTCAAGCTCCAGGGAGAGGGAAGCACATCTCACAGCCCCCACCTTACCTCCACTTCTCCCTCCTTTCACCATCACTGGGGATGATACATCCTGGGCCCCCATGGGCTGGGGCAGGCTGGGTGGTGGCTGCCCCGTAGGTACCCACTTAGGACTGAACTGGGTGTGGACTCCACTCTTTCTTAATTGCATCTTAGAGCCCAAAGATCAAGTCAGGACTTGGAGTGAAAAAGGTCAGAGAAGGTTAGTGAGAAAATCATATGTGCATGAGTGTGTTTGAGTATATGTGTGTGAGAGAGAGCGAGAAACAAAAATAAGTCAACAAATAATAAAAGGGCTGGGCACAGTGGCTCACACCTGTCATTCCAGCACTTTGGGAGGCTGAGGAGGGTGGATCACTTGAGGTCAGGAGGAGACCAGCCTGGCCAACATGGCGAAACTCCATCTCTGCTAAAAATATTAGCTGGGCGTGGTGGTGGACACCTGTAGTCCTAGCTACTGGGGAGGCTGAGGCACAAGAATAGTTTGAACCGAGGAGGTGGAGGTTGCTGTGAGCCAAGATGGCACCACTGCACTTCAGCCTGGACAACAGAGCAAGACTCTGTCTCAAAAATAAATAAATAAATAAATAATTTTTAAAGGGCCAGGTATGGTGGTTTATGCCTGTAATCCCAGCACTCTGGGAGACCAAGGGAGGCAGATCGCTTGAGTCCAGAAGTTTGTGTTCAGCCTGGGCAACATAGCGAGACCCTGTCTCTACAAAAAATTTAAAAATTAGCCCTGTGTAGTGGCGTGCCCTGTGGTCCTAGCTACTCAGGAGGCTGAGGTAGGAGGATCACTTGAGCCTAGGAGGTCAAGGTTGCAGTGAGCCATGATCACGCCACTGCACTTCAACCTTGTAGACAGGGCTACAAGACGCTGTCTTAAATAATAATGATAATAAAAGATGGAGGGACAACCATGGTACATGCATGGTTATGCAAAGTGAAAGAAGCCAGATGCCAAAGACTACTTGGTATATGATTCATTTTATACAGTTTCTGGAAAAGGCCAAACTAGAGAGACAGCAAACAGATCAGTAGTTGCTGGGGGCTGGGAAAGGAGCAGGGATTGACTGCAAATAGAGTCCAGGGGACTTTTGGGGGTGATGGAGGTGTTATAAAGCTGCTTAGTGGTAACATTTACACAACTGGATAAATTTGCTAAGGCTCATTGAACTACACATTTACAATGTGTGAGCTTGAGGCATGATTGTAATACATCCTCTATAAATTTTCTAAAAAATGGAGAGAGGGACAGAAAAAGAGCAGAGGGAGGAGGACAAGAAAGAAATATGAAATGAAGAGAAGGAGGCACTTCTCCCTCCTGAGTTTAAGGCTCAACACTTCTCAGACCAGGAGAGGCCCCTGCTTCCCCACCCACCCTCTCTTGGGGGTCTCAAAGGATAAGATTTTGCTGCAAAGGGGTAGTGTGAGCTGAATTAAGGAATCAATAGGGTTTTAGGAAGGCTAGGCTTGGATCACCTTAAAATCTGGTGCCACTCTTCTGATATGTTCCAGTTAAAGTGATGCAACTCTGGTAAATCAGTAAGCTGGCAGGGCACAGTGGCTCACACCTGTAATCCCAGCATTTTGGGAGGCAGACATGGGTGGATCACTTGAGGTCAGGAGTTGGAGACCAGCCTGACCAACATGGTGAAACCCCAACTCTACTAAATACAAAAAAAAAAAAAAAATAGCCAGGCATAGTGGCACATGCCTGCAAACCCAGCCACTTGGGAGGCTGAGGCAGGGTAATCGCATGA